GTGGTGGTGGTGGTGTAGGTTCAAATCTGGGTGGCAGTTTGTCATAATAATGGTGATGTTGGTGGTAGTGGTGTTGTGTTATTATTGTTGGTGGTGGTTGTGATGGTGGTGGTGGAGGTTCTGACGGGATGGGACGAAGAGTGCATGTGACTAACTATTTGGTCAATTTGTGACCATGTATTGGAGGTTGATTGGGTGTTTAGGTATATGTGATCAATTATTTGGTTATTTGTGACCAACTATTAAAATGTAACATTAAAATTCGATAATTTGTGACTAAAAAAATAATAAGTAACCAACAAATTCGAAAATATGTGATTGATAAATAAGTTGTGACTTATAATTTTTTTAATCTGTGACCAATTAAATAAATTTTGATCTATAAAATTATTGATTTGTAATATCGAAATAATCCGTGACCAATTAATTTGGCAATATGGGACTAATAAATAAATCGTGACATGGAATTGTGTACATGTGACCAATATTTGCATAATTGTGATCTTATTATATTTAATTAACAAATATTTTTAATTAATTACCTCATACCTGAGTTTTGCATTTTCAAACTATACACCTGACTTGTGATTTGGTGTAAACTAAATCACTAAGTTATAATTTTTTCCCCTTGTACTATCTTCTTCCATGAAGAGATTGAAGAAATTTTCTAAAGCATTGTATTTTAATTTTCAATTGAAAAAGTCAGTTACTAATGATTTTAATTCAATAATGCATTTTTAATTTACCCCTTGTTTGATCCTTAATTTTTTCAAAATACATTTTTCTTTCTTTTCTCTTCAATCATACATTCCTCAATAAAATAATATTACACGTAAATCCAAAGATTTTCTTCATTTTCTAACCATACATTCTCCATTAATCTACTATTAAAAACTAATGGGGGGCTCAAACAGGTTTTTAAAAGCACATTATCATACCCCCACTGTAGCCGACCAATCCCATAATTATCTTCTTCTATACTCCCATCCACCCTATACCTCAATTCCACACACAATCAAACCTAATCCATCTTAACACCCATTTTAGCACCACAACCCTCCCTTATTCCGTTTCCAAACCCTGAGTCACCACTAGCAAATTCCTCCACCGTCGCCGCATACTTGTTCTCCTTATTAGACCTCGATTCAGTTGAGTTATAGAACATTTATAGCACTGCTCAAGTAGGCTTGGACATACCTAAGGGCGGATCCAATCTGGAGGTAGAACACGGATTACAATACAAATATACATAGATTTATTTTTTTATAAAAAAACTAAGAAAAATTAGACATTTCAGGATCTAGGCACGGGCTATAGCACGGTCGAGCCTGTGCCTGGATTCACCAGTGGACATACATCCTGGTTAATTTGGTATATGCATGATGATGTCCTTTGCATAACAGGATTGAGCAACCTGTTTGCCAAGAATGATTGCCGACAATGAAGATGAATACATGCAGCTAGGAGTACAATTGGCATTGGATGTTGGGAAAGGTGATGGGGTGAAATGGGACGGACGAAGAGTGGTTGTAACCAGCTATTTAATGAAAAAATTACACTCACACACACAAAACCTGATTTTTGAAGTTATTTTATAAGATTGTTAAGTATGAAATGTGATTCTCATATTCTAGTAGTTGTGTACATTTTTTCGTAAATGTAAGCTCGATTTCTTTTTCCGTTTATCCTAAATTATAGGTCACTTTTCTTATTGAATTATCAATTAATATAAACTTATTCTATTTAATTCACTATTTAATGTAAGGATATATAAGAAAAGTGATAAAAAAAATATTATATTTTCAACAATATTAATTATATTTTCTTAATTTGTGCGAAAATAGAAATATGCCTATTTTTATGGAACGAATATAGTATTATTTACTATAAACCATAACCTTTCATACTGCTCACGATGAATATGAACTAATCAAAACATGATGGGCTATTCGCTAACAAATTCAGCTAGAAATGAACTAATCAAAAGCTGTCGTGTGTCCTTAATAAAAAGAATTTAATTGTCCTCATGACCATATTGGAAACCTATCAATAGAGATAGTCGAGAACAGACTTTAATGCATCATGAATTGTTACATAAGTTTGTAGTAATCGGAGGGAGGGGGCAGGCCGTGCCCAATAACTTTTCAAGAGGAAAAAAATTATTTTTGATGACAATTTTATATTTTCAATGTATCAAATTTTTATTTTTTGTCCCCTTAACTCTGCCATTGCATGTTGGGGAAAACCATTTGTATAGGGGAGTTCACAAAACCCGTGCAGAAAAGACACATGAGGTTGGTCTCTTGCCAAATTCATGAGCGATAAAAAATTGCAAAAAAATGCCGACCTCCCGTCCCGTGTGTTGTCTGTAGGGTTTCTGTGAAACCCCTATTCTGTACACGTAGCAGAATTCGTCTATGTTACGAAGAAATAAGAATTAACATTAAGACATGAAATGGTAAACAGTTAATTAATAGTATCAAAGGAAATAATCTTTTCACAAAATTCAAGACAGAGAGTATTAAAGCCAAAAGTTTAAAAATATAATAGAAAAAAAAAAAGCAACAAACAATAAAACCTCTCTATGATCATACTGTTAGGACCAAAATAATTTTGTTTATGCAGAGGTTATAACTTAGCCTATATTTGGTTTAGATAAAAATTAATTTTCAATAGATTTCAATATAAGTGAGGAAAATGTGTGGTTGAAAAGTTAATAAAAATTGTGGATCCCATGAAATGTGATCGAGTAGAGACTTAATCTGTAAAGCCTCACAAAAATTCTTATTTAGATTTATGTAAAACTCAAATAAAATTAATTAATAAAATATGTTAGTTTCAAGATATATAAATTAAGAATATCGGAGTGTTTTTGAGACATTTTTTTTAAATGAGTTTTGTAATATTATTTATTTGAAAAATCTATGATAAGAATAGAAAAAGTTAAATTAAATTTAAATGTAAAATTATTTTATTAGAAGAACGTTAATTTAAAAAATATAAATAGAGAACTAGAGTCATATATGTCAAACTATTATCTAACATTCTTCTTATCTACATTGTACATGGCCCCCCAAGGCATAATTCAGAGGTATAAATAACAGGAGTAAGATAGTTTCAGTATTGCTGACAGTCGTAGTGTGATGGTTCGATTCCTGAAATATGGAATTAGACTCTTTGTGGATATCAGTGTACGGACGAGCTCTTGTTCGATGGCTTATTGAGACACATCTCGTGATTTACCTCTCTCACGATACTCTAAGAACGTGATGGTGGGAGTTCTCAAGATTGGGGTTCAACCTTTTAACATTGAACATGTATAGATAAGTACAATGTAGATAAGAGGGAGGTCTATACAGATAGAGATAGAGATAAGCGCAGTGTTGTCAGCACATACGTATGCCTGCCATGCATTACTCCACTTCGATGCTCACATTAAACAATGATTATTGCAATAAAACTAATCATTTAAATATCTGTACTATCAACACCCATTTCTTGGAAGCTTCCACACAGATAATAATTTTAAAATATTTATTAATATCACTTTCGTTTGGAAAAATTGCAGTATTAGTCATGTACTTATTGTATGAATAGTAAGTTAGTCTATAATTTTTTCAAAATACTCAACAATTAATCATAACCTGCACAATCAACTGTGAATGACAAACTACTCAAATATCCATTATATTGTCATGGATATCTCGAATGTCTAATTTTATGAAGTTTTATTTTGCTTCTTAACTTACACCAACGTCCATAAAAATTAAATTGAGGTATGTTTCTATGAGTAATCACTATTGCTCGAGTATACGTTAAGGTATAACTTTATGTTAAAGCATATTTAGGAAGTATTTATAAATGATTTATATTATAAATAAATAAAAATGAGTCATGAGCAAATGAATATTATTTGCAAGTCTCTTCAAACTTTGAGATAAAAAATTATTTTAGCGTTTATAAATAGTAGAATAGACACAAGGCAAACATACGACAATTATTTTAACAGTACAATTGGCATTGGATGTTGGGAATGCTCGTGGGGCGAAACGGAGGGTGGTTGTCATCAGCTATTGAGTAATTATGACAATTAAATTATCATTAAATAATATGTGATTTAAAATGTGTGATTTGTGACTAAATTTGTAACTGTGACTTATAATTTATGTTTTTGTAATCAATAAATAATTCTCTCCAATCATTTAGATAAAAAATTATTTTAGTGTTTATTAAATTGAAGTATATTTCTATAAGTAATAACTATTGCTCGAATATACGTTAAGGTATGACTTTATATTAAAGCATATTTAGGAAGTATTTATAAATGATTTAAATTATAAATAAATAAAAATAAGTGGTGAGCAAGTAAATATTATTTTAGTGCTTATAAATAGTAGAATATACACAAGGCAAACATATGGTAAGAATCATGTCTTATCTAAATGGTATCACATATAGGTATACTCTTTAGACCAAAATCGAATGAATTTTCCCCCTTGTACACTGGGCCTTACAACTCGGTATATACTCCCCTCATATAAGGAGAGGGCCCACGCCCAATTAATGAACATGCCATGTCCCCATGTGAGGGGCTATACACTGAGCTATAAGGCTCGATGTACGTGTAGTAGGGCTCAAATCGAATATACTCCATGCTAAAGCCAAGCAATTTTTATTTTAATTTTTTTCAATTCATAAAATTGGTCGAAAATAATATTTATCTCATCCCACAATTCATATTAAGTCGAGCTCTAAATTTTAAATCAATTGTCCACCATATAATTTAATTTTATCTTCTCTCATGTTATCACATAATAGTAATTAAAGGTCAACCTTTCTTATTCAAGACTAATTGTACAAATATAATGGACATTGGTATTAACTTAATATTTTTTTAAAGGTTAAAGACTAACTTGCTATTGTTGCAATAGATTAGGGGCTACTGTTGCAAGTTACCCTTTACTAATGATGGCTGGTGAAATTCTGTTGACAGGCTTTGAGTTTGCTGGTTTAAGCCAATTTTCGACAGCCATCATAAACCTTGAGATTACTTTAATTTGACCCTTCATAGTCCTAAAAGCCGCACTGCATCTTTCCTTTTCAGCGGTCTTAGCTTTTCAGCAGAAAGGGAGAGATGAAGGCCTGAGTTCAAGTATATCTTTTGTACCTCTTTTATTACATTTTTTTTCTTCATCTTTTTGATATTTGCACACAGAAAATTGAGTTTCTAATTTTTCTTTTGCTTTTGAAACTGTGAATCCGTTTTTGAGTTCTAAAAGAATTTGAACTGGGATTTTCGAGTTCAGTTTATGTTTAGTGTGGATTAATTTAAGAGGTTAAAGGCCTTTTTTGTTCATTTGAATTTGAGGAAATTAATCAGGTTGAATTGATTTTTCTCTTCTTCTTTTTTTCCCCGCCTTTCGTGTTCGGCTCCTGGTTTATTTTGTGATTTATTGCTGGATTTGCTGTCTGCAGTTGAAGGTAGTTAGATCTCTCTCTCTCAGTTATTTTGTGTCTTTTAATATTTGTTAATGCCTTTCTTTAATCGTTTATTATATTCTAATCTGCTAGATTTATAATAATGTGAATTTGTTATAACATTAATCTCTCTCTCTCTCTCTCTCTCTCTCTCTCACGCACACACACTTCTGTTCATGTATCAGTTTAATTTAGTTAATTGGGAATTACAATTTTCGGAAATGATCTCCTAAGCATCATCGGTACCTAGCTTATGTTAAGCACCGACATGGCACGCCAATGAATATATCAATGCTAGGTCCATGAATTTAGTGATTTGCCAATTAAATGATGTGTACCGGTGCTATACTTACTGATCAAAATCTGCTCTACCAACTCTCAAATGATTCAAGTTTGAAAATTTAGTTAATGATCGCTATAATGAGATGAGTCCGGTAGCCTATGATCCTTCATACTTTCTTGATTTTCTGACAGAAGCTTATCCAAGAAATCTGTGTGAAAAGTTTCTCTTGAGGACTGGGAGGTTAGGTGATCACACGGGATAAGTAAGAATGAATCAAACAAAAATTAAGAGAAAAATTGGAAAGTACGAGGTTGGAAGGACAATTGGTGAGGGAACATTTGCGAAAGTTAAATTTGCTAAAAATTCCGAGACTGGGCAACCTGTGGCTCTCAAGATCCTTGATAAGGATAAGGTTCTCAAGCACAAAATAGCCGAACAGGTAAGTTTTTGATTTCTTGATTAAGCAAAAATCATCATGAACCTTAATTCTCTTCCTATATTAAATTATGAAAGTTGAATTTCAAAAAGGATTTAAGTGTTTATCGTGCAAGAGATTTTCTTTAGCATTTAAATCATCATCAGTATTCATTTTTCTCCATTGCATTTTTTTTTACCTTTGACACTTCACTAGCAGTTTCTGATGCCCTGGCATGTATTTCAACAGATAAAGCGGGAAGTAGCGACAATGAAGTTGATAAAACATCCCAATGTTGTCCGCTTGTATGAGGTTGGTGGATCTCTCTCTCCCCCTCTCTCTTTGCTCGTTTGTCGGGTCGGGGCCAGGATGTCTAATATTGTGTGTTTATCCAGGTGATGGCGAGCAAGACGAAGATATTTATTGTTTTGGAATTCGTCACTGGGGGAGAGCTTTTTGACAAA